AGCCCTTTCTTTTTCCCCCCCCCCCCCCCCCCCTTATTTTTGATGTGGGGGGAAGAGAAGAGAAAGGAAGGAAGAAAGGAGATGAAGATGTGAGTTTCTTACAGCCTTACCTCATCAGTTTGGGTGAGGAGTTGGGTGAATTTCGCATGCCTCCGTTTCGTTGCTTTTTTTTCGGTGATAGTGTTGACGGCTGCTCATCTTCAACTGGAAATATAAGGAACTCATAAGAGTAAGTACTGCTCTAAGTGCAATATGAAATACAAGTGAAGTAGCAAAGAACACACACTCTACGTCCATTCACGCACTGATACTTCATTGCTAACATAGGCCCAACAGTAATAAAAATCAAATACAAGTTAGTCAAAGAGATTGGTTTGAAGGAGAAGCAGGGAAGAATACCAGGGTTTTGAACACAGGCGTTCAAATTGGTTTCATACTTCAAAAACAAGGAGGGGGAACCACATTTGGGTTATTCTTAGAGTTATTTTCAGTTAATCTGTGCTACAGAAAAGTAGAATTAGTGCTCTGCTATGTTCCCAGAAAGATAAAGTACTATTTGCAACACCAGCATAACAGCTGTCAGCCTGCTTTTGCTAATGAACTAGACACCAGTTGGTTCTTGTTCCTCACATGCCAAACAACAGAGTCTTCATGAAGAGATGTAAAATATTCAATGCCGTGATGTTCAATGATTCAGTTAGTCGGGAATGTGAACGCAGCCTGCCACTGTGCACAGATCTCCAGCACAAGTCAGACCTCATCGTTCTACCCTTCTCACAAAAGGGAGTTTTAACAGGAGTGAACAGAATGAGGCTGAATGGAAGTAGGGAGAAAATACCTGTATAACAGAGGATGCATGTGTTATGCAATCTTTTGATGAGGTGCATTTTCAATGACAGATCAAATTCCAGATGTAAAATCACTTACGGTTTTGCCAATCATAAACTACTCCTGGATAACCTATGTCACAACACGTACTGTTTAAACAAGTGCAGCTTCCTAACAACTCATCTATGAGAATTAACCACCATCATTACTGTTTCAAGACTGTTACTGTATTTGATAATCTGCACATAAGGTTTACATGTGCTATCAAAGGGAATTATGCCTGCTTGCTCAAATTCACACTAATGCTGAAATACTGTAATCTAAAGAAGGAAAAATACACTCTTTTTTTCCATCCTACTGTTAACTGAAAAATTAACTAGAAGATAATATAACTGATGCCTAGGAGGCTGTTACTTTAAAGCTAAAAGGAAAGACATTATTAGTAGTAGTAGCAGCTACATTAAAAGAGCTTAATACACATTAGCAGTGCACAAACAGATGCCAGAAAAAAAAATCTACTTGCAACAAGCTACGTACGAACAACAACAAAAGCCTGCCTTGCTGTATGTCACCCTACCCATGTCTACTTATCTGTGTAGAAATTAAGCAATATCTCTCTGCTATAAATCTCTTCTGACACTATTTTATTACAGACTGCATTCTAGCCTGTCATGTCCATCTGTCTGCCCAAGTCTGCTATGGGACTTGATTTTGCCTTGGTCAAGACAAAAGGACAGGGCCCTGAAAAGACAGATGTGCTGTCCTTTTAAATGACCTGGTATCACCTAAAACATCACAGGAATCAAAATAAACAAACAAAAAAAAAAAGCATTGCAAAAGACAAACAAACAAAACAAAACAAAATTTAACCCCAAAATAAATGCCCCACAGAGTGGTGTAAAAGGTAAGACTTAGATCAGAGCAATGACTCTCCAATAATAATTTATTTCACTAACTTAACTTTCTTTTCTTCTTGGGCAGCATCCCCAAAGACAAAGCCATTTCTTTCTCATTTGTCTTGTCTTTTTTTTCTAAGTCAGAGTCCTACAGTGGAAATACTTATTGATGATTAGTCAAGTATCACGCTTTGTTTGGCTGAGACATAAACAAGCCCACAGAAAATTCTCAAAAATACACAAACTGAATTTTTCTTTCTGTGACAGTTTGTTCAGACTAAACTAGGTCACTTCAGTATTTAGCTACGTGTAACATAAAGTGAATGTGCACAGAATTATTTTATTAGTGATATCTTTCTATTTCTCATTATAACAAAGTGCAAGTATCTGTGCATTTCAGAACACCCCCTGCAAATCACTGTCTTGGAAATGGCCTAGTCTTGTTTTAAACTTGTCTATCAAAAACTTATTTGCATGCTATTCCACACAGACAATAGGTTGCTTTCAAGATATACACTGTGCTCTCTTCTTCTTTATAGGATATAAACATTCAGTTCCAATGTGACGAATCCACCACTTGAGAGATCAAAGAAACAAGAACCATGCAAAATGTTCCTTCCAGAAACCAGCTATAGCTGATATGTTTTGTTTGTTTCTCTTGGTAGAAAAATTCTAAATTTCACTTAATCTAATCTGGTACAACAGGGTTACAGAATGTTTCTCAAGAGATTCAGTATTGCCCCATAAGTAAAGTGTATTGTTATACTATTTTAACAGTTTAAGAAGATATATAGACATCAGGACCAGGTGCAAAATCTTACATTAACACAAGTCAACTATAGATCATATTATAGCCAGAAATATTTCTATGAGCAACACTATTAAAAAAGAGTACTTTTCCATGTTTTCAGCTAGCTAATAAGACTCCTGTCTGATCTTTTCAAATACTGAAAGTTAGTACAGTAAGAATCTTTTGTACTGTATGGTCCAGAATTTGTCTTCTCTAGGACTGCCAGGTGATGCCACCCTGCCATCCAATTCAAAAACAAAGTCTTACTAGCAATCATCCACCATTTCCAGAACTAGATTTCTAGCTGTCTGCAGTTATTTTTGGTACTGTTTCTACAATAAATAAGCTCCCTCTTTTGATACGTGCCTGTCATAGTCAAACTATGTTACTGTCACTAATTGCCTAGAAAGTCCAAGGTTAATGTGGCTCACTAGTTAATACCTGTTAAACCCTTCTGAGGGAATCTCACGTTTGTTGTGAAAGCAATGCCTTGTTTAAATAAGGAAGTCATTTATTCTCATTGCAGCAATGAAAGATGATCTATCTTAATCACATCCAAACAAGATTTTATCAGTGAAATCTGTGCACAGAGTTTTTCATCTGCAGTTTAGAAATGCAACTCTGTAAGAATGGGGAAAGGGAATCCATGAAGCTGAAATATGTAAATGGTACATAATGGACACCATTACCTATGGCTTGGTTCCCAAGAGTGTTGCAATGATAACACACAAGTGGCTTCTTAGCAATAGGTAGGATATAAAACATATTTAATTATTGTCCTTCAGATACTCTTATAAATTTCCTGCATGTTTACAGAAATAGATCTAGCAAAATTTTTAGTGAAGCCATAAAATATTTTAGTTTCATGGTTCTTGTACCTGCATTCATTTAAAAGGGAGTCTTACATTTGCTTGCTCTTGTGAAAGACAACCATATTTGAATAATGGGCTGTGATATATGACAACTCAGCTCTGATGTTGTATGTTTCACCTAATGATTTTATTAATGAGAATGTGCCCCCATTTTCAGTATTTTTTATGTCTTTATGCTACAGGATTTGTATTAAAATACAGTCATACTACATTATGCAGACTTTCGTTACCAGCTTTCATGAAAATTGCAAATATGTTCAAGAATTGGATGCAGAATTTTATAGAACTGGAACTCACCCCAGCCTCCGAATTCTAATAAAATTAAAGAGCTTGTCTGCACATCCCTAAGTATAACACTTAATGTACTCTAGTAACAACCCAGTGCTCACTTGTCTAATAGGCAGAGAATCTAATAGTTTTGCAGTTCAGGAAGACTCAGTGCTAGAAAAATGACAGGCGACTCTAATGAGGCTTCAGATGCTCCAGTTTATGCTGGAGTTTAATTTGAAGTTACACTGATGTTTTAACATGTTTGCTTATTCCTAAGTAAAGAGGATTCATTATTTCAATGACATAACCTCCAGACAATGTTCCATGAATTGATTTAAGATGTGCTGGTAATTTCAACAGCCTTAATGTGGAGCTGAACATCTGTAAGAACACATTACTCGACTTTTATCCTCATTTCATTTTTTAAGCAAAACAAATGGAATGTCTTTCAGAAACAGTGGACAAGTTCATAACTTTTTTCCTTGTTACTTTGTTACCATTTTTGAAACCAATCTGTCTCCTTCACTGCCTCTCCCAGGTCTCTGCCAGAACAGTTTACAGACACTGTTTTTTAGACGCCAAAAAGAGCTGGAATTTGAAATAACATCTATGTTACTGAACATCACACGAACTGGAATATCTGGTACACTCATTCTGCCTAGCAGGTAAATGCTTCAGATCAAAAAAACATATGAAAGGTAAAGCACAAACCACCCAGAAACATTAGTTGACTAGCTATCTTGATTAACTTATTAATCACCACATCTGGAGAAATCCACATCTGTAAGCACTTAACAGAGCATTAGTAATGTCATAGTCACATTGAAAACAGACTGGAAAACCATGCACAAACCAAACTGTTTTGCCTTATGCATCCAACTACAGGGCTACCTACGGAGATCTTGGTTCAACCCGGGCTTTTGGAAGTGGTAGCGGTATTTTACAGGCAAGCTGAGTGCCCTTTGCAATCTACAGTACGTAGACTTTCCTTGTTCAACAGAACTCAACAAGTTAAGCTGCAGCAGTGAGGGGTTGTTGGGTAGGAAGAGGCTCCCTTTACGGTTATTAACAAGTGGAACAGGTTCCGGGATTCCTTCAGTGGACTTGGCACCAACCAATGCATTAGTAGTTGCATTCTTGAATTGGTATGAACATTTTGTGTAACTTGATCTAGCTGCATTCTTTACTTCTAAATAATAAGAAAAAATTTAAATTAATGTCTTTGTATTAAAAATTATTTCAAACCACAGGCATGAATCAATTCCGATATCATGTGGAATTACAGACTTTAGTTTAAAGAATGAGTTTCTACAGCTGAAATAAAGGTTTATACCTGCAGCTTTCCTAAGTTTGGTTTTTTTCCAAAAATGTTTTTTTATAAAAGAATACTTATAAAAAGATTATTCCACAATATTATCATCTTTAACCAATAATCCCATCCTAGGGTATGTCTGAGGCAACACTTATTTCCCACATGTTGATAAAGTCTTTGAGATTTACCAGCTGTGAAAGATGTTAATTCTTTTGAATCTACTGAAAATGACAGGG